TTTATGGTTGTTAGATGTATATTTGGTAATTTTATTTTATGTGCCAGATTATTGCCAATGTATTCATAAAGAGCTTAGTTTTTAAGAATTTTAGACCAGATTTATGATAAACTTTGATTTTTAACTAGCCCAACACTAACTCTTCGATATATTTCTTGCTGGAAGTACCCCAGATCCCATTGATAACGAGTGAGCCCAAATAATTCAATCAGGATAGCTGTTGAACCATATCACATAGTTCCGGCAATAATAAAAGCGTAAAAAAGACTGCAGCGATACTGCTGGAAAGAACGATTTTAATTTTTCTTTCTGATGATTTGACAGTGCTTATTCGATAATTATTTGATATGCCAGCTTAATTGTGATTTCTAGCATTGTGGTCATGAATTTTCAACTATTTTTATTTTAGGCGAAATATTAGATTACTTGACGAATATTTTTTTGTTAATAATTTAGTTTACTTTGTTGCAACAGACCTTTAATTCGTGAAACTAACTCCAAATTTTGTATAATTTTCTTGATTCGATCTATTTTTGATCTTTCAGAGAGAACGTAACGCAGAAATCCCAAAGTTTATGTCTACTCCAATACACGAACTTCAGCCAAAAGTAATGCCAAGTCCACTTCACACAGAAGAAGACACAATTCATAGATGGCCACCAAATAAATTATCTGAAAACATTATGAAATGTTTGATATTTATTTTTATAAGGTTGCTTAGAACGTCAAGAGCAATGGAGTTAGAAAAATCAGGTCCTATTGGTAGGTCAAGCAATTTCTCTTTAAGTTTCAGAGCTGAACCAAATTTGAACTCGAAAACAAGCCTTTTGATTCAGAAAGATTCAAGACAACAAGATCCATATGGTATTTTTGATTCAGAAGAGTCTATTCCAAGAGATATTGGCCCTTACAAGAATTTGGTTAGATTTGCAAAAAGTTCTATGGAGGCAAAATGCATCTCGAGTTCTAATTCCATCCCTCTATTTCAAAAGCTCAAGTATGTCAAAACCTTTAGAAATTTTATTTTTATATATTTTTTCCTACATGCAAATTAATTACTTATGAGTTTAACTTCTGAACACAACAATGTAAAGAACTTTTACATTATCATATCATGTCATCTAAAAGATAACTACAAGTAACTGTCAGAATAAATGAAATAATTATATGAAAATAAAAAAGTATGTTATCTGCAATCACAATCAAACTTCTCTATAACAATCTTATTTTTTCGGAATTTTTTTGGATATAAAGTGAAATGTGTTATAGAGAACATATACTATCATAGCACGAAAAATGATTCTATAAAAAATTTGGTTTTTATAGTGAATGATTGTTATATATAGTGATGTTGTATAACAAGTTAAATTATACTGATAGCCTAAAAAATTCTTTACATTCTCACCGCATATAAGTTAAATTCTTTTATTTTTCTGTTTGCAACATATGGTTTCTCTTCTAAATGGAGTAATATTTTTCTTGTATTTTTTATAATTTCAGGCTTATGATGAACAGTCTACAGAATGTAGATTTAAGACTGCTGAGTTACCAACAGAAGCTAGCATTTTGGATCAACATGTACAACGCTTGTATCATGCATGTACACTAGATTAAGCTTTATTCTTTTCATTTTTTTCTAAATATTAATATAACTAGTTTAATCCAGTTATAAATTAAAGTACATATATCTTTTTTGAATTCTTATTCCAGGGGTTTCTTCAACATGGAGTTCCTTCCAGTTCTAATCCTGAAAAGTTTCTGTCACTTATGAACAAGGTGATTAATACTTTCGTATTTTCTTGATAAAATTTTCGTATTTTCGTATTTTCATATATTAAGTAGGAATTTACGTAAGAATTGATTGATTTTCAGGCAACTTTAAACATTGGTGGCAATACGATAAATGCACATGCAATCGAGCATTTTATCTTGAGAAAACCAGTAAATTCACCTGCAAAAGAGGTAAATTACCTTTAACTTGTACCAACTTGTTTTGAGACTGAGGCTTATAATTAGTTATTGTTTGCTTGTATTTTTGCATGTAATGTATGTTATATCTTACAATATCGATATGATATTTAAATAGGTAAATCGAAAAGGTGAAAAAGAGGATAAAGAAACTTTAGTTCGTGGATTACATGGACTTGAATCATTCGATCCAAATATCATGTTTGCCTTATGTTGTGGCACACGTTCTTCTCCAGCAGTAAGTCAATATATTACCATAACATAATTGCTTATTATATGGAATTGCACTTTTCGAAAGTAAAGTTTGTTTGAAGCAAATATTTTTTATGCATTTAGAGTCTTTCAATTCGTTATAGTCTAGATATTTAATATTATTTCAAGAATTTTTTTTATCTTCACCCCATTATATATTCTGAAAGTTGGTCTGATTGGTGACTTCAGAAAGTATTAAGTGGACAATAATTTGGGTCTAGTGAGACAATATAAATTACGAAAATCAGTTGCACGATACATTTTCCTTTCCTTAATTGAATGTTAACTTGTTAATTATATTGGAAGGATTTAATTTAGTATATTTTTACATGTTATAGCAGGTTATTTTCAGGCAACTAAAACTTGTACTTACCTTTTAAGTGACAATTTGCACTGAAGTTAAGCTCTAATGAAAATGAATGTGCAGGTGAAGATATATACAAGTGACGGGGTTACAGCTGAGTTAGAAAAATCAAAGTTAGAATATTTACAAGCTTCACTAATTGTAACAAGCACAAAGAAAATAGCTATACCAGAGCTTCTGCTAAGAAATATGAATGACTTTGCTCAAGATTTGGACTCATTAATAGAGTGGATTTGCCAGCAATTACCTACATCAGGTTCATTGAGGAAATCCATTGTTGATTGTTTCAGAGGTGTTAATGGAGGCAAAGTGTCCACCATTGTTGAGAAGATACCTTATGATTTCGAGTTTCAATATCTGTTATCTGTATAAAATTGATTTGCATTTTTTAATGCAGTTTTTGCTTCATAATTAGTCGTCATTTGTATTTAGAGGAACCTTTTCTATTACGTGTATATGTGAAGGAATTACAATAAGTGGTGAAAAGAAAGGTGATCACTTGCTGCTTTATAGGGTTGTTTTGGAAGACCCTTTCTTGATTGGAAAATATTTACATATCCTCTATGTTTGCATCAAATTGTGCTAGTTTATCATAATCAAATGATAAATCGAGGCAATAGTGCATACGGTTAAACCACTATGTAATAGTCATTCTTTATAATAGCCCTTCACTATAACGGACAAGCTTTCTTTGAAACCAATTTTTTATATTATGTTACCATATATGTTCTACTTCACTATAACAACAAAAAAAATGTCTGAACAAACAAGGATATTATAGAGAGGTTTGACTGTAGTACTTATTAACTAACCATGCATAATTCAATAAAAAGATATTTATGTGATGAATAGTGACAGAATGTCATGTATATTTGTTAATTTGATGGAAATACTAGGTGTAGATAATTTTTTTTATTTTCATTTGAACAGCAATGGTCACTTACTCTTTTTTTTTTCAATTTAAAATTAAATAATCTTTCAATCGTCCTCTGATCCTTTTTTCTTTTGGGACAAGTGGAGTATAAACTATATTTAAAATAACGGCAAAGGGCTAAATATATCTCTCTACTTTTGAAAATGATCTAAGAATACTTCTCTTTATACTATTGGGTTATCTATACCCATGCAGTCATACTTTGGGTTCAAATATACCCCTCATTTAAACGGAGGGACACGTCTCATCGTCATGTTGGTCAATTCTAAATATCTCCTAATTAAAAAGAAACATTACTCATACACGAAAAATATATTTTTTTTTGTGTAAAAACTGGAAAAAACTAAAATTATTTTTACTAAAAACTGAAAAAACGAAAATATTTTTTATTCCAGTTTTTACAAAAAAAACTGCCTTAGAAAAAACTGAAAAATATTTTCTAAAACAATATTTTTGTAAAAACTAAAAAAAAAGGGCTGAAAATCAATTTTCTAAAGCAATTTTTTTTGTATAAACTAGAAAAAAACTGAAATATTTTTTATTAAAAACTGAAAAAAACAAAACAATATTTGTTTTTTCAGTTTTTACAAAAATATTGCTTTAAAAAATTACTTTTAGTTTTTTTTTCAATTTTTACAAAAAAGATTGTTTGGAAAATATTTTTCAGCTTTTTTTAAAAGCAGTATTTTTGTAAAAACTGGAAGAAATTTTTTTTTTGTTTTTTTCAGTTTTTAGTAAAAAATATTTCAGTTTTTACAAAAATATTGCTTTAGAAAATTGATTTTCAGCCTTTTTTTTAGTTTTTACAAAAATATTATTTTATAAAATATTTTTCAGTTTTTTCTATGCAGTTTTTTTGTAAAAATCGGAAAAAAAAATATTTTCGTTTTTTTCAGTTTTTAGTAAAAATAATTTCAGTTTTTTCCAGTTTTTACAAAAAAAAAAAAAATATATTTTTTTTTTTTTTGTAAAAACTGGAAAAAACTGAAATTATTTTTACTAAAAACTGAAAAAAACGAAAATATTTTTTATTCCAGTTTTTACAAAAAAAAAAAAAATATATTTTTTGTGTATAGATAATGAGTCTTTTTAATTAATTAGGAGATATTTAGAATTGACCAACAGGACGATGACACGTGTCCCTCCATTTACATGAGGGGTATATTTGAACCCAAAGTATGACTGGGGTATAGATAACTCAATAGTATAACGAGAGGTATTTTTAGACCATTTTTAAAAGTAGAAGTGTATATTTAGCCTTTTGCCGTTAAAATAAAAATGAATAAGGTAGAATCTAATACAAAATTGAGAATATTCGGATTATTATAGGTAAGAATATAAATTTCTGTCATTAGAATGATGACAAAAATTGGATATTAAAACTGAATATTTCCAAATTCTTTTTTAAGGTTGTACCGTTTCATACGTACAATAAGATAGCCAAATAACACGCCTCCACGTATCACCTTTTCCGGACACCAACACCATAATTCCAATTCGCTTCTGTATGTAACTTCACGTCCGTCTCCACTCTCTCTGTGAAAAGACAAAATCAGCTCCCACTACTGAAACAGAGGCAGCTACAGACTACAGCTAGCTGCTTCATTCCTTTTGGTTTTTTGCTTTTCCACGTGTCCTTTTCTGATACGAAACTCTGCTACATGCATTAAATGTATAAAACTTTTCTGAGATTTCTTTAGTTTTTGGTTTTTGTTTCACAGTATGGTTCTTAATTTATGTTTGAAAAAATAGTATGATCAGAGCCTTTTGTTCTTGTTTATGCAAGGTTTGTTTTCTCCCTTTTCTTTTGCGGTTTCTGTCTTCAGGCCGTCTCATATTTGTATATGTTTTTCTCATTTGCATGCATTTTCTCATAATTCTTGAATCATTACTTGTCCCCGTTAATCTTTTAGTACCTTTTTATATAGTACCCAAAATTGACTGCATAAGAAAACATGTGATGTTTTAACACAAGATTGTTTTGTTTTAGGTTCACGTTGCTGATGTTTTAGTTCTTCATATGGCCTGTTGGTATCGAATCTCTAATTTTTTATAAAGGTATATATTGTGAGACTCTGAAGCTTTTTTAGTCAAAGTTTTGTTCCATAACTTGTGGATTAAATGATTTCATTTAGTTGATTATGCATTTTCTTATGCTTCTTGCTCTTGGACCTGAACAATTCCAATAAAATGTTATGATCTTTCTTTATGGTCATTTTTGCAATCTTTGGAGTTTCTAGTTCATGTTTGAAGTATGACTACATCAGTTATTGTTATTATTAATCTTTTTGGCTCCATATTTCTGGAATACAAGGTATATATGTATATGCCTAAAGGATGTTATTTAATTGGTATTTCCAAATGGATGAAATACACTGTTACTTGTTACTGATTAGTTATTACTTCATATGTACATATTATTGGTTCTTTTTGCAACACTGCAAATGCACATCATTTCCTTTACTAGTATACCATGCTAAGGCTGCAATGTTTTATTTTGTTCTGTTTCTGGTAGTCATTCTCAAGAAAATGTTAGGAAAAGTTGGACAAAAGTGTAAAATGCAGAGTGCTCTAGATTCATTGCAATACAGCTCAAAGACACCGAATGCGAGTGCAAGCATCTTTCGACAGGAGCCAGAACAGGTACCTAAACATTCTGGTGGACAACTAGTTTAGATTTCACTTCATTCGGCTGTTCAAGAATATGTTGCACATTCTGATCAATAATCTTTTTTATTTTATTTTGTTTAAATTTTTATGTTCTTTTAGGTCGTAGGCGGTGCCTCTGATTATTTTGCATCAGAGGAGGAAGCCATAGGTGTGGAACATCTATTAGCAGAACCTGAGTATGATGATATAGTTGATACTCTTCTAGATCTTAAGACATGTACATTCAGTGTTCCAGAGAGCTACTTTAAGGATTTTTCAGCTCTAGAGTCTGTTGATCATGGTACTTACTAATTAGTCTTATGAACTTGAGCTATGCGAATCAGATGAGAGTAAATGGCTACTTAGAGTGGTTCATTGACTGCTGATTTCTATTTATCTTTCTTAGTTTTTCCATAACTAATACTATATTTTGGTCTCTGGTCTTTCACCTAGATGCACTTCCCACAACTCTTACCGAAGTGGATGAAACGAGGGAGAAGGTATGTGTCCTTGTGAGCAAGGCATAATTGTTAAGTCCAATTTGTTTTCTGTTTTTATGTCGTTCCATAGCCTTTTCATTGTCACTGATTATTTGAACATACCTGATTTTGCAGCTTCTTGATGGATTTTCAAACGGATATGACGAAAATTATTGCTCCATTTCATGTGAAGATTACCTTTTGGGTAAACAGTTGTTGCATTTCCCATATCATGCTTGTCTACTCTTTCCTTTTCCTACTTTGTTTCTGTCCTAATTAAATATCTTTTAGCTGATAACTTAATTTTAGTCCTGCTATCCTCGATTTATCAGATATTGAAGTTGAGGAAGAGACTCCCACTCTCCATGATGTCGATATATCCTATATTGAAGATGTGAATTTGGAAAACCAGCTTGCTGGTTCAGATGGAAAAAATTGTGGCATTGATGTGTTAAAGTTGTCTGATGCAAGAAACTCATCTGATTATGATTCTCTGCTGTTAGACAATCGCAATTGTCTGCAATTTGATGACATGTCATCCGATAAACTACTCGAGGTGTTCAGGAAGATGTTTGGACATCAAACTTCTGTCACGGATAAGCAATGGCTGAAGCACCACATAACATTTGGTTTGCAAAACCAGGACATGAAATGTTCTCTAGTTTCGAGTGAAATTGAAGGGGCTAAAGTCCTCCCACCAGAAAGTCGTGAAGAGCTCCTTAAAGCATCTACTGCCTTTGCAAGTGTATTCAATTTCCGAAAAAAGCCAAGGGTTCAACATGTGAAAAGGAGAGAACATATCCAATGGAATTCCTTCAAATGCTTATCTGAGGCACAAGTTGATTCTTCTGGCATTCTTTCTGACCAGTCGAATGATAATACTACATCTGAAGATGATTGGACTATAGGGACTGAGACCCCAGGCACTAACCAAAACAGAAAACATAACTATTGGTCAACACCTGAGGTCCTAAAGTTGGTGGATGGTGTATCTAAGTATGGTGTAGGCAGATGGACTGACATAAAGAGGTTATATTTCCAATCATCTGCGCATCGTAGCCCACCTGATCTGAAGGTATGCAACTGTAGTATCATATAGTAATTTGCTGCTTTCCATAAATTTTTGATATGATTTTAGTCCCTTGTTTCTGACAGGACAAATGGCGGAATCTTCTGAGGGCTAGCCGCCAATGTTTGAAGAGCCGGAGAGGGGTATGGTATTCCTCCTATCAGTTGAAACTCTCTAATCTGTCCCTTTTCATTTCAATTTTAATTCAAAGTCATTCACTTTTATGATTCTTTGCACACAATTAATATGAATATCATGTTGCAAAGCCACATCCTTTTCCTTACGAGTGTGTCATGGTATTATTTTTGGAGCTACTGCTCCCTTTAATAAATAGGAGAGATTTTATGGCAATATTTAAGGCATTTGCTATTCTGAATTTCCTTTTTTCTTGATCAGCTCTTACTCGATTGCTTAGCTTTTTCAGTGGCTTTTTTTATTCAAAAACTATGAGATTTGCAGGTCGCGGCAAAGCAGAATCATGGTTGGTCCTCAATTCCTCACCATGTGTTGAATCGTGTTCAGGAGCTTGCTGTCATCTATCCATATCCGAGGAAACGTAGAGCAAGAGTTTTGCCAACAGTATTTGTTGCCTCTTCTTCAACAGAGTCTGATAACCGGTGCTTCTCTTTGAACGCGTAGAATGCATTGAAGATCGCATACTCCATTAGATACCAAGATATACTATACAAGAAGGATTATACCTATGCAAAAAGATTACATACATTTGAAAGAAATATTCCTAATATTTTTGTAAGTTACTAATTTGGAGCTGATACAAGTTCAAGCTAGAGACAGAGCTTACAGATTGTAGTTAATTTTGTTCTAGTTTAAAATCGTTTTGTCAGAATGCTTATCAACATTTCCAGGACTGAAGAAAGTGGTTGCAGTTATCTTTGTTGATTCATGTATAACTGCGAGTGTTTCTACATAATTTCATTAGTAACCCTTTTCCCATTCACGTTTTTTCTTTTTCATTTTAAAACTCATTATGTCCAATATTATGTAAGACTGTTCAGATAACAATACAAAAGCGCCAATATGATGTAGACAAAAGTATGGCAAGAATGCATGATTTCCAAGAAATGTACAGTGGTCTTATGGCTTAATAGATATTCTTTTGCATACTTAAAATGCTTAACGAAAAGGTTGATTAGAACACCTCATGGTAAGTTCCAGGAGAGATGACAGATCCTGGCACCTTGGCCAAACACAACGCTCTTGAACACTGAATGATCCACAATTCTTAGGGGAAGTTACACATTTAGCCGCTCGGCCAAAAATATTAACAGCCCTTAGTTGGTATACATAAATTATGCACTAATTATGCATGGCTAAAAACGTAAATACACATTTGCCGGTTATATTTTTGGGTGGACGACTACGTACTGAGGAAATGGCATGGGATAGTCACTTTTTAATATGGTATTTAGTTTTTATCCAGTATTTTTAATGCTGAGCAAAAATAGCCACTTACTCTATTAAAATTAATACAAAAAGATGTTTTTACCCTTTCTTCATGAGTGTTGTGTAAATATTAAGGACATGGTGTCCTTAACATTTACACTGCACACATGAAGTTAAGGAGGACATGTCCTTAACATTTACATTACACATATGAAGTTAAGGACATGATGTCTTAAAGTTTAACATCGGAAGGTGCAAAAACAAGACACTTTGTCCTTAATATTTACACAGTATTCATGAAGTTAAGGACACCATGTCCTTAATATTTACACAACACTCATAAAGTTAAGGACACTATGTCCTTAACATTTACACTGCACGCATGAAGTTAAGGACACCATGTTACTATGTCCTTAACATTTACACTACACATATGAAGTTAAGGACATGAGGTCCTAAAGTTTAACAACAGAAGGTGCAAATATAAGTTAAGGACATTATGTCCTTAACATTTACACTGCACACATGAAGTTAAGGACGCCATGTCCTTAACATTTACACTACACATATGAAATTAAGGACATGATATCCTAAAGTTTAACAACGGAAGGTGCAAATACATGACACTTTGTCCTTAAGATTTACACAACATTCATGAAGGTAAGGATATCGTGTCCTTAATATTTACACAACACCCATGTCTAGAGCACAAGGGTATTTTCGTCCGGGCAGGTAAAATTTATTAAGCACTGGCTAAAGAGTAAATATATTTTAAATAGTGGCTAAAGTGTAAAGACATCTCTAATTAATGGCTAACCGTGCACTACCCCTAGGTAGTCTAATTCCTCTCCACGACTTACTTAATGGGCCCAAATTTCCTGATCTCCAATTAAATGGAGAAAAAATATACAAATAGTCAATTTTTAGCCCTTGTGTTGAAAAATGTCAATTATTCTGGAGTTTCAAATTCCACAACTGAAACACCGGACATTTGAAACTAGGAAAGTAGCTATTTTAAAAAATAGGGCCAAATAAAGGCTATTTTTACAAATTAATCTGTAATTTCACTGAGCCCAATAGGTTTTGGTCCGTCGATGTAAGAGTCAGTTTCTTAGGCCCAAGAACTAAAAAGGCCAAAGCCCAATTATCATATGAATATATAGTACCTTTTCTTTCTCATATATTGAATCCGATGAGATCTTGAAAGACCAAAGAAGCAATAGTAAGTATTCAGCTCTTTCACATATCTCGAAAATGGCGAAATCAGCTGCCTATTCCAATACTAAATCATTCTCCTCAATACCCATCTTCTTATTCGTAGTATCTTTAACTGTGTTGTTGTACACATCAACATTTGCTGAAGCTGGAGAAGGAGATGCCTCTGCCTTTGCCAAGAAAACAATTTCTTCTCACTCCATTGTTATCTTCTCCAAATCCTATTGCCCGTTAGTTTTCTATCCCTTTAAGCTCCTTTTTGCCCTTTTTGGTGATTTTTTAGCTTATTTGATTATGTTTTCTGTGTGTTGTTGCATTTTTATGGTCTTTGATTGTGTTTCTGATTGATCTTTCTCAAATTGATATGATAAATTGCAAATTGGAAGACCCTTTTTAGGTTAGAGCTACTCTTCCAAAAGAGAGCATGAAGTTTTTGTCTTTGATGAATGTGTAACAACTTTAGGAATAAATGTAAGTTACATTGTACAAAAAAGATACTGAAACATAGCCCCCGGGCTTTGATCTAGTGGTGAAAATGCATGATGTGCTGAGTTAGAAGCACGTCACAGGTCGGAATCATGCCACATATTTAAGTGGAGAAGGATAGAGGGGTGGGGCCATTATCCATTAATTGTAGAATTGTGCATCTCGACCCTTGGGGCCAGGGGCGGATCCACCTTATCCCAACCGGTGTCACGTGACACCACACCGCTTCGTCGAAAATCTTTACTAATTAATTATATATAATTCAAATGTAGAAACAAAAAAGGGTAAAATAGAACAAAGTTAACACCACTTGTCACGTTGAGCTGTGTAGCTTATCTGGTCATACTGTGAAGTTTTCTATGCGGGGCCGTCGGTTCGAACCAGCGTAACTTCATTTTATGTTTTAATACTTTTGTGCCTCATCTAAAAAATATACGTGCCCAGAGGGGTTTGAACCCCTAACCTCTTACAGGTTATTTGTTCACGATTAAAATGGTGATACCGCTTACAAAAGCTCCTGCGTACGCCACTGCTTGGGGCTTTCTCGGTTATCCACAAAGAATCTTAAAGAAGTTTTCATTCTGAGAAATGTTAAATTTGAGACCGACGGTTGCCGTTGTAGTACATTTTTGTCTAGGATACTTTGCAGATAGATCATGATTTTGGATTCCATAATCAAGTTAATTATTGGATGGATATATGTAAAATGTGGGAACATTTTCTTCTGTTAGGTGATTTAGCTCTTTTCTTGACCCACTTTGGCAGCATACGTTTTTCTATTTAGCTGTCTTTGGCTTATTAATTGTAATGAATATGGGTATGTACATATTGCTATACTTGGTTAAATAAAAAATTTCTGTTTATGGGTCTTTATTATGGTAGTGGATGCATTTTGACTATTCTGCTAGGTTGCAATTGAATCTTAAGCTGTGGAAATCAAAAGTAGAGAAAGTAAAAGTGTTGTCTCTTTTTTTACTGAAGTTGTTTGGACTTGCTAACTTTGAGGTGTGTCAATTGATAATTGAATAGTTCATTACATCAAATTATAAACAGAAATTTAGTTTACCTTGCCCTCATACAAACAAACAACAACATCAACCCGGTAGTAATCCCACTAGTGGGGTCTGGGGAGGTTAGAGTGTACGCAAATCTTACCCCTACCCGGGGTAGAGAGGTTGTTTCCGGGAGACCCCCGGCTCATAAACAAAAGATCTGTAACAACACAGAAAGCAGACAAATAGAATCAGCACCGTAAGAGACAACAAATACTTGGAAGGGCAATAAGTATGTCAATAATAAAATTGAAAAATAAATAAATTATGGAAATAAACATCGTGTGATGAACAACAACCGCTAGCAGACCTAGACCAAACTCTATCAGACTAGCTGGAAAAATGCTCGACTACCCCCTAACCTACAACCGTAATGCTTGACCTCCACACCTCCCTATCCAGGATCATGTCCTCGGAAATCTGAAGTTGCGCCATGTCTTGCCTGATCACCCCGCCCCAATACTTCTTAGGTCGTCCTCTACCTCTTCTCGTACCTGTCAAAGTCAACCGTTCACACCTCCTAACCGGGGCCTCTAGGCTCCTCCTCCGCA